AAAAGATTAAAATTAATTAAAAACATATAACCATAAGGACTAAATACAAATCCACTTTTAAAAATATTATCAATTTTAATATTATTTTAAATTAAAAACATTGATTGAGAAATAATTTGTATAGGTCAAAGTTTACTTGTTCATTTTTAAATTTCTTTTTTGTTTTTTATCATATTTATTTTCTTCATTTGGTTTGGGTAAATTTTTATAGAGATGATATTTATTTAAAAATTATATTATTGTTTCATCTATGAATTATGGCTGTTTCGGTTTTTTTACCGAAGTTTACAGATAAAACTAGAAAACTCAGATAAAATAGCGATTTTTGTTTAAATTTCATAATATTATTTCGTGTATGAACATTGGTTGTTCCAAAAAAATTATCAAAATTCATAGCTGAAACCAGAAATTGACTGAGATAATTAAGAAAGTTAAAACAAAGTAAATAAGATAATTAAGGGATATGAAAACAATAAATACTCCGGTTAACAAAGTTTGTACTGATTAAACAGTTAATAAAAGGTGTCCTCTCTCTCTCTCTCTCTCTCTCTCTCTATATATATATATATATATATATATATATATATACTAGAAGGGTACTCGCACAATGCAGCTAGATATATCTAGATTTTAATTTTTCATTTGATTTATTTCTCTGTCGATATAATACGGTTTTATGTGTTTTAGAAAACAATAATATTTTTATTTCTAAACAAAATATAAATTTGAAAAAAAAGTATCGATGTTAGTGTTAAATTAACTATTTAAAAGTTCTCATTTTCTATGTAATTTCTTTAATTCAATTTTTTATTATAAATTTAATTTTGATTTAATAACAAAGTAATTTATTTTTATTTAATAATATAATTTTTATAAGAATGATAATTAATTATTCTGTTAAAACTCAATGATTATTCTAATTATATTTCAATTTTTTTATATTTAAAATGAGATGTTTATCATGTATTTGATTATGTTTATCCGTAGTTAGTTAGACGAATTCAAAAATAAAGTTTTAATAAATTATACTTACAAACAATTTTCTTGTATTATTGAATTTTAAGTAATATGCAAAAATAAACAATACTTCATACATAAAAATTGTTTTTAAAATGCTTTATAATATAGTATATATTATTTAATCTGAATTTGATTTATATTTATATTTCTAGATTTAAAACAAAATAAATATTTCTTTTGTTTTATTCTTCGGGTCAAAGTCTTTACCGCGAAAACGGGAAGAAAAATCAAACTAGAATATTGTTGATTTATATAAATAAAAGAAAACTATTAGAAAATGAAAAACCGATGAGTTTTTATTTTTATTTTCGAGGGATTGTTGATCGTTTTTTGGTTGATAACCTTCGAATTTTCTAATATCTTGAAATATGGACGGACCCAGAATTTTTGTCAAACAGTGAGACTATTTGACTATAAGAAACAAATATTAAGATATACGGTGACACACAACAAATTTACACTACGACAGATGAAAAAGATGGTGGCACATGCCACCATTGGCACCACGTGGGTCCATCCCTAGGAGCACCCCTTAATGTTTAACGTATGCACATTTCACATCTGAAAGATTCTACTTATGAAAATCGATTGAACGGCTGTATAGGATTCCGTTGGGGCGTTCATAGGTGATCCACCCCTAAACTTAGGGTGGGTTCAAACAAGAACATCCTAATTTATAAAAATATAAAAACACTATGAAACGTTATAAAAAGTATTTTAATACCGATTTAAAATTAAATAGAAAAAAATGTTCGTTTTATATATAATTTGCTTGGTTTCAATCTTCCATATTTCAATTACTTATAATTTGAAAAAATTTAGGTGATTTTTTATTTTAAAAAATGATTGTAACTAGGGGTGCTCATGGGTTAGGTTGATCGAGTTGAAGATATTTGAATAATCCAACCCAATGGTTGCGGTTTGGAAAAATCTTAACCCAACCAACCCAACCCAACTCGTACGGGTTGGTCGGGTTAATTAGGTTGGTCGGGTTGATACTTTGGTACATTAAAATATTTTTCTAACCTTGAATATGTTATTTATCTACTAATAGTTTTCTTTTCATCATCAACCATTTGATACAACTTATCCATATTTTTTACATATATCACATTCAATTAACTTTCTCAATTTACATATATATGTTCACAGTTACTGAACATATATACGAATGAGTTGTATAGAGATGTGAATAGATTGAAAATATGTGTATATGAAAAGCATAAATGATATTGTAATTGTCTAATGTATATATTAATAGAAATTCAACAATCATATTAAATCCAAKAAATAAAAAGATATCGGGTTCATCGGGTTAGGTTGAGTTCAAATAATAGTAACCCAATATCAACCCAATATCTATGGTTTGACAATTTTATAACTCGATTAGACATCGGGTTGCTTCGGGTTGAGTTGTTTCATGTTGGGTTGGGTTGATCGGGTTGGTCGATTTTTTGAACACCCCTAGTTGTAACCGTTGTTTTAATCATATTCTTTCACAAGTCGGATTTCGTCACGAAAAATCGTTCTATGTTCATCACATAGTTCAAATCTTACTTCCGAATGAAATATATTAGTGTTTTTATTTATTTTTCTGTTTTATTTTGATTTTATTGTATAGTTAATAACTCAAAAGGCCAAGAACCTTATATGTCGTAGAATTTCATTTCGTAAGTTGATCAATCTTTAAATTTTAAGAATTGTGTTCAAATTATCATATTTAAGTAGTTTTTGTCGTTTAGAAAATACCAAACAATGTTTATTTCATGGTAAGGGGTAAAACGGTCATTTAAGTCATTCAAATTGTTGATTCAAGAAAAAAGTAAAGAACGCAGACAAATTTATTCCTACATGATTTAATAGAAAATTTGGTAAATAGCTCCCTTAGATAAGTCTTTGAACTGTTTTTTGGACAAACAAATTCTTAAGCTTTTTTAAATCGAACAGATAAATCCTTAAACCTTTTAAAATCGAATAAACACAAGAAGATTCTATATATTTTAAAATGACCAAAACGCTATTCACAAAAAAGTCATGTGTGCATGATAAGACTTGGCAAATGAGGTACAATAGAAATAAGAACATTCCAAATGAGGGTTGTTACACCACCCAAACTAGTTCATCGCCAACTCTCGTGGATAGAGGTTACTGAAAATATCCTAGATTTCTCGAGCGCCCACGTCCATTTGTCGTGCCCCCTTCGAACCTGAAATTGGAAATCCTATCAACCACTCAATAACGGACTTGACCAACTCCAAGTAAATTCGATTAAACAGTTAAACTCAATATCCCACTGTTTGATCGAATTCCATCCCTTACCGTAGATTCTTTATTTGATTTTTTGGCATAAAGACAAGGAAAGGAGTTGGCTAAAGTTTGGTTATCAATCCAGCGATCAGTCCAAAACTTCACCCCACACCAGAAATTGCATATTGTTTTCAAGTCATATATTTATACTATATTATAAAGCATTTGACAAAAACTTTTAAAAACCAATTTTTATACATTAAATACTGTTTATTGATGCATATTACTTAAAACTCAAGATTACAAGTAAATAGTCCGTATATACAACTTATTAAAACTCCATTTTTGAATTTGTGTAACTAACTACAGATAAACATAATCAAATTCTGGATAAGTATCTAATTTTAAATATAAAAAATCTAAAATATATTTAGGATAATCATTGAATTCAAAATACTAAATATTATCTTTATAAAAGAATTATATTATTAAACAAAAAATAAATGACTTCATTATTAAATCTAAATTAAATTATAATAACAAATAGAATTAAAGAAATTACACAAAAACAAAAAAATTTAAATATTTAATTTGATACAAAAATCGATAAAAAAAATTCAAAATTTTATGATACCTTCAAATTTATATTTTATTCAAAAAAATAAAAACATTATCGTTTTTTCGGTACCACATAAAATCGTATTATAACATTGGCGGAGACAGAGACAGAATAAAATGAAACATTAAAATCGAGATGTATTTCGCTGCATTACGTGAGTACCCTTCTAATATATTTTTATATATACCTTTAAACACTATTATATAATTCTATTATTTCATATGCTCTAACTTTTTTTATTAACTACATTTATATAAGTGAAAGCAACTTTTTTAATAATTACTTTTCAAAGTATTTTTAAAGGAAAACAAATAAAGAAATAACATCATCTATTTTATTAATTAAGAAAAATTATTTTTCAAATCAATTGTCATGATATTTAAAAGGGAAAATGGTAAAACTAGACATTTCAATCGATCTAATTTACCTCTTAGTCATTTCTCTTTCAAAAAATTTAAAAAGTCACCATCTCCGTAAGCGGCCTTACTGCAACTTGCGGAGGGGCCACTTTTAGAAAGAAAAAAAATATCAAGTATGCAGTAGGAGCCACTTTCAGAAGGGATAAAATAATATTAGCCTATTAGAATATTAGAAAAGCTATATATGTAATGCTTATACATCACATTTTTAGCACCTCCGCAAGTGACATGCTCATGCATCATCTAATGGAAGTGACATGCCGCAAGCAACACCTTCGCAAGTGAGGACATCGTACCAGTTCGCATCTATTTTCCAAGTTTTTGGCACTTCAGTGAGTTGCTAAACTGGCACCTGCGAAACCCCTGTTAAATACTTTTTCCCCCTCCGTAAGTTATTGACTGCCACTTGCTAAGGTAGTGAATATTTAGAATGTGCAGGAGAGAAATGACTAAAAGATGAATTCACTGGGTCAAAATGGCTATTTCAGTTAATTTTCCTAATTAAAATCAAATGTTGACATGATGTTAATCTAGTTATTGGTTATTGTGGACAAAATGCTACGAGGTGGTGGTACAGGAATTTTGAGTTGTCATTCACATTTTTGTTATTAAGTATTAATAAAATGTTACATTGTAAAGATGATTCTAAAAACTATCAATATCACATTATAATAACATAATAATCGTATATTCATCTATCGTGAATATATGTCATACAAAGAAATATCACGTGCTATAGATCCCGAAGATTTAGATTTGGATTTATTTTTTGAACAACTAGAATTATTTGTGCTTGAAGTGGGGTCTTCAAATAGGGGTTTTTCTGGATTCATACTCGTATGCATGAAAAAAGCAGGCTCTGAAGGTAACGTGAGGGTTATAGAGAGGCTACTAAGCATGAGAACAACTGAAGCCATAGTTGGTCTCTCGGTAGCATCTTCTTGAACACATAATAAGCCAATATGGATACACCTGACCATATCACGTAAGGAAATAGGACCATCTTTCATGATCAGTGTAGGATCAATTAAACTTGAAGTCGTTTCTGCTTTCCAACTTTTCCATGCCTAAACACATACAAATTGCAACAAAAGAAAATAGATGAATAAAGGAAAAGTATATGTTTGAACAAATACTAGAAGTTATATGTCAACACTTACATGACTAAGAAGATCCTCTGTCACCATTTCGTTTTGGAAACTACTATTCTTTTGACCCATTACTATCTCGAGTACCAGGACACCGAAACTAAAGACATCTGACTTTACTGAAAATTGTCCATGCATTACATACTCGGGTGCCATGTAGCCACTAGTATAACAAGAATTGCGTTGATTAGTACATGAGCCAGTGTTCACTATTGGTATCTTTCACTACCACAAATTTAAGTTTTTGTGATGAAAAAATATTAGAGACAAAATAATGATCATAATCATATTTCATGCCATGAATTTTTGCATCTAATGATAATAAAGAAACATTTATTTTTTGTAGTGAGACTTACTAGGTTCCGACAATTCGACTAGTGCTGCCTTGGGTTTCTTCACAGGTGAATAACCTTGCCATACCAAAATCTGCAATTTTCGGATTCATTTGGGCATCCAACAAAACATTACTAGCTTTCATATCTCGATGAATGATCTTTAATCGTGAATCCTCATGTAAATATAGAAGTCCCCTTGCAACACCTTGTATTATTTTATATCGTTTTTCCCAACCTAGAGTTGCACGTTTCACTGGATCTGAAAATGTTAAGATCGAACACAAATTTACTATAAAAAGAATAAACTTCTATAAATTAATCTTAAATTTTCTAAAGTATAACTTGGATAATATTCAACTTACTAAATATAAATTGGTCTAGACTTCCATTTTGTACAAACTCATACATCAAGAGTCGTTCAGACTCTTCTATGCTGAAACCTAGGAGACGAACCAAATTTCGATGTTGGAGCCTTGCAAGTAACAGGACCTCGTTCTTAAATTCTTGTTCACCTTGTCTTGAATCCTTTGACAACCTCTTCACTGCTATTTCTTTTCCATTTTGTAACTTTCCCTAAAAATTTAGGCTCAAAAGAATTTAATGGTCACCTAAATCTTGAAAAAGATTTTCTATTGCAAATATTCCCTCACAAAAGAAATAATTTCCAAACGATGCATTGTTTACCTTGTAAACCAAACCAAATCCACCTTGTCCAAGCTTATTGCTCTCTGAAAAGTCATTTGTTGCTTCTCTAATGATACCAAAGCTATATTGCAAAGATTCGGCTGTACTAATTTCATTGATATCTACGTCCTCGTAAACTAGAAAATTTTCAATAAGTGGAAGCCTAATTACAATGTTGTGCAATGAAGTAACAAAGAAAAAGAAACCACTAGTACTCACCAAAATTATTTGAAGGTCGTCCTTCGTGCTTCCTTTTTCTTCTTATGTAGACGAAAATGAAAAGCACGACCAATATCACAAGACTAAGGGTTGCAACGATAGCAATTACAGTTATTGACGTGTTGTTAGTCTTGTCTGAAATCTCATCAAAAAAATAAAGAACATTAGTGAAATTATCCCCACACTACAATAGACGTGTTAAAACTCTTTTCTCGCTTTGATCTCTTATTTTCTTTAAAAAATTATTTAAATTCTCGAACGATGAACTATTTTGTCACTAGTTATACAAACTCTTATATCATAGGATTCAATCTATAGGATGGCAAAAATGTACATACCTAAATGCGACGGTGACAGTGGAGGCGATTGTAGCGATGATGGTGGAGGGGATTGCGGCGATGGTGGTGGGGTTAGGACCACTGTGTCATTAAAGAAACTGTAATTTTCATACCTTAGGTTGCAACTAGGATATAGAACTCTTAGGCCACGTCTGCCATCACAACAAATTGGAATGAGCTGGATTGTACGATCCAAACAATTATAACATTGGATTTCAGACAAATCCGGTGTACACTGCATGATCCCAAAGATCCTTGTGCCCCCACGACCACTTGTATAGTTGGAAGCATATTTACGGAGAGACCCACCACTAGATGCCTCAAGTATTAACTGATCCAACAACGGATAAAGCCCTTGATTAAATTGGTCCACGTTTGATATGTTCTGAGGGTTTGCCTGAAACCGTGTATCCATACTGCCTGGATTTCCCCAAATGGTTACATTAGAGTACCTTAGCATACACGTATCATACCATCCTATTGCACCCTTTTGGTTAGGGCAAATCTCTCTTAGTCTTGTAATAGAGCGATTTATGCACTTGCGACAATCGTCTCGATCAACATCACCTCTACATAACGCTATAACGTGAATTCGATCTGGGGTTTCACCAACGGACCGGTTGTAGAATCCATATGTAATGCTAGTATCAGAGGTGAGGGACAACAAAGCATTATCAAGATTTCTTTGGTATGCACCATTTATAGTGAAATTTGCACTTTCATCACAAGTAGGGTATATAATATCTTGAGAGACGAAAAGGGGAAATAAATTTATGACAATAACGATGAAAAACAACATGATTTTTCTGGTTATTCTCAACATAATCTTGTAAAAATGAAATACATACGATTGTTTTTATTCATATTGATTGGTATATATATATAGATGTATTATTTATGTATAACTTTTGAAAGGGAATTAAAACATTATAAGTTTTAATTATCTTTTTAAATAATTTTTTGCCGGTTAACGTTTACTTGGTCTATTTTGTATTTACTTGTTTGTTTTATCCATTTGTTTGCATCGGTGTCTTAATTTACAATGGACGATGGAGAACGATTCTTATCTATCGACAGATGTTTTATTTTTTGTGACTCATCTTTACAGTCATAAGATAATCGAGAAAACATCACCTTTCTATCCTTACGTTAGCAACAAAATACATTTCTTAATTTATTTGTGTGTCATATCTACCATGACTTTTAATTTACAGGATAAGCTACAATTTTGGTCCAAGAAAACTATGAACTAATGAACAATTTTCACTTCGATAATAATAAGTACAACAAGGTTTGTATTTTGCTTTGAAAGTGGTCATTTTATTTAACTTTGCTAAAATTATGTTGTTAGTTGAGGGTTATTTTTGTAATTTTATCCTTTTTTGAATTTTATTTGTTTTGTTGTTTTACCTGCCATAACCCTCTTGTCGTTGAACTATAGTATTTATACACTTGCGGCAATCGTCTAGTTCAACATCACCTCTACATAGTACGATCACGTTGACTTGATGGGGGGTTTCACCAAGAAGCCGATTGTGGAAGTCGTATTTATTGTTCGGATCAGAGGCGAGGGATGACAAAGTGTCATCAATATTTATTTGGTATGATTCTGTATAGTAAAATCTGTGATTTCTTTGCAGTGAGGGAATCGATGTTCAGGAACCGAAAATAAATCTTTTTACCCCTTTTCTTGATCTTTCTTCTTTGTCCTTACCTTCCGTCAAAATAAGAAAGTCGATCAAAGGCTTGTAAACTCTGTCAGAAGAAATCATCAAAAACAATTGAATATATAAAAAAAATTGTTTGTGCAAATTCTAATCCAAACACTATAAACATATATCACAAATCCATCAAAATTCATTCATAAAAATAAAAATACAAAACCTGTGTATTCTGAATCAAAACCCTACTTTCTCAAGATTTTAAGTTTCGCCGTCCTTTACCGGTTCGAAACTTCAAATCTAACGATATCCTAAATCCAGCTAGCTGACCCATCGTTCACTACCAAAGAAGCCACTTTTTCCGGCGGCATTATCCGCCGGAAACAATGATTTCCAGTGGATTTATTTTTAAAAAAAATATTATTTTTCCGCCGGAAACGGTTAAAAGATTTATTTTTTAAAAATGATTTTTCTAAAAACATTTCCGGCGGATTTATTTTTTTAATTATTTTTATTTTCCGCCGGAAAAAGTTAAAAGATTTATTTTTTAATTTTTAAAAATAATTTTTCTAAAAATATTTCCGGCGGATTTATTTTTTTAAAAAAATTATTATTTTTCCGCCCGAAATCCGCCGGAAAATGTCAAAACCGGTTTTTAATTTCAAAGATTAATTAATTTTAAAATATTAATTAACTTTTAATTAAAAAATCCGCCGGAAATACAATCAGTTTAATATTTCCGGCGGAAGTCAATAAAATTTGACTTTTTTGAAGTCTCATGGAAATCCGCCAAAAAATTACCGCCGGAAAAAACGCCGGAAATGCCCAGTTTTCTAGTAATAGTTATAATGAGGCTCGATCCAAGATGGAAAACTGAAACAATCAGAATGATTTAACAGTTGAATGATTTAATCGTTCATCGTCAACAGTAAAGGGGGAGACGACATAGAGACTTAGTCAGCGACTCCTAGATTTTTCTAGTGATGATTTTATTTCAAACGGTGATGTTTTTTTATTTCCTTTTGGGCATTTTTTAGGACGATGTATGGAGTTAGTGGCCGTTGTTGATGACAGTGGATAAGAAAAGGTCAAGTAAAATTAAAAATAAAAACTCAAATGATGTTTTTGGTCAATTGATAGCTAACGTTTTCTTTCTTTAAAATACTACAAATAAAATCTAATGTTGACATGAAAATTGACCAATTAATGGCTTATTAATTAAGGACAAAGTTTGGTGATAT